CCCTGCCCCCCAGGGTCGCTGTTCTGATGTGCTTTGAGGTCTTTAGCAGGGTGCTACAAATGTAAATTACTGGGAGCTAAATTCTGGGAGCCTTGTGGTGCAGCAGGTTAAACCACCACTTCCTTTGTTTTTTGTTTGTTTGTTTTTTAAGATAGAGATCTTCCATCCGCTGGTTCACTCCCCAGATAATCTCAAAGCCAGGCTCCAGTCTCCACGTAAGGGTAGGGGCCCAAACACTTGGGCCATCATCGCTGCTTTCCCAGGCCAGTTAGGGAGCTGGACCAGAAGTGGAACTGGATTGCCGTTGTGGCCTAGGGGGTTAAGCCACCACCTGTAGTGCTGGCATCCTATATGGGTACTGCTTTGAGTCCCAGCTACTTCACTTCTGATCCAGCTCCCTGCTAATGCACACAGGAAAGCAGCAGCATATGACCCAAGTGCTTGGGCCCCTGCACCCATATGGGAGACCTGGGTGAAGGTCCTAGCTCCTGGCTTCAGTCTGGCCCAGTCGCGGCCATTTGTTGTGGCCATTTGGGGAGTGAACCAGCAGATGGAAGATCTCTCTCTCTTGGTAACTCTGCTTTTGAAATAAATAAAATAAATCTTTAAAAAAAAAAAAAAAGTGGAGCAACGGGAATGAACCAGGGCCCATGTGGGATGCTGGTGTCACCGGTGGCAGCTTTACCCACTACACCACAAAACTGACCTCAAGCCACAAGCCACCACTCTGGACACCAGCATCATATTACAGCACCAGTTTGACCCAGCTTCCCACCCATGAGCCTGGGAAAGCAGCAGAGGGTGGCCCAAATTTGCACCCCTGCCATGTCTGTGGGAGACTTGTATAGAGTTTCAGGCTCCTGGCTTCAACTTGGCCGAGCCTAGCTCCCAGTGTTATGGCCATCTGGGAAGTGAAACATCAGGCAGAAGATTCTATGTCACTCTCCCTTTCAAATAAATAAATAAATGACTTTTTAAAAAAATTCAGATGAGCCAGTTAGAAAACCACTATAGTTTTTTTTGTTTGTTTTTTTTTTGTTTTGTTTGTTTGTTTTTGTTTTTTATGACAGGTAGAGTTTATAGGCAGTGAGAGAAAGAGACAGAGAGAAAGGTCTTCTTTCTGTTGGTTCACCCCCCAAATGACTGCCACAGCCAGTGCCGTGCCGATCCAAAACCAGGAGCCAAGTGCCTCTTCCTGGTCTCCCATGCAGGTGCAGGGCCCAAGCACTTGGGCCATCCTCCACTGCCCTCCTGGGCCACAGCAGAGAGCTGGGCTGGAAGAGGAGCAGAACCCGAACTAGAACCCGGTGCCCATATGGGATGCCAGCGCTATAGGCAGAGGACTAACCAAGTGAGCCATGGTGCCCCCCCCCTTTTTTCTTTCAATAAAAATAGTTCTTAGGGGCCAGAATGTTAAGCCTCTACCTGCAGTGCTAGCATCCCATGTGGGCGCTAGTTCAAGTCTTGGCTGTTCCACTTCAGATCAAGCTCCCTGCTTATGTGCCTGGGAAAGCAGAAGAAGATAGGTATAACACCTTAGGTCCTTAATTATTAACCATTAAAATTGCAGTTCATATTGAGTGGATAGTAGAGTGTCAAAGAGATTAGTAACAGATAGTTTTGTAGTAGAACATAAAAAATGTGATTTCAGACAGGGTGTATGAATGTACATTATCTTTTTTTTTTAAGTTTTATTTCTTTATTTGAAAGGCAGACTTAGGTAGATATATATAGAGAGAGATCTTCCATCTACTGGTTCACTCCTGAAATGACTACAACAGCTAAAGTTCAGCCGATCCAAAACCAGGAGCCAAGAGCTTCTTGTGGGTCTCCAATGTGAGTGCAGGGGCCCAAGTACTTGGGCCATCTTCTGTTGCTTTAAGTACATTAGCAGGGAGCTGGATCAGAAGTAGAGCACAGGACTCAAACCAATGTCCATATGGGGTGCCAGCGCCACAGGTGGCAGCTTTACCTGCTATACCACAGCGCTGGCCTCACATTATCGCTCTTAAAATTCAGCTCAAGGACTGGTGTTGTGGCCCAACAGGTAAAGCTGCCACCTGCAACACCAACATCCCATATTGGTGCCGGTTCCATTCTTGCTTGCTCCATCCCTGATCCAGCTCCCTGCTAATGGCCTAGGAAAAGCAGTGGAAGATGACCCAAGTGCTTGGGCCCCTGCCACCCACATGGGAGACTGGGATGAAGCTCCAGCCTAGCCCACTGACCATTGTGGCCATCTGGGGAGTGAACCATCTAATGGAAGATCTATCTCTCTCTGTCTCTGTCTCTGTCTCTGTCTCTCTCTTTCTCTCTCTCTAACTCCGACTTTATAAAAAAAAAAAGTTCAAGAACTTTGTAATATAAAACAATGGCAACTGCTTACGGCATGATTTTCTTTTTTCTTTTCTTTTCTTTTTTTTTTTTTTTTTTTTTTTGGACAGGCAGAGTTAGACAGTGAGAGAGAGAGAGACAGACAGAGAGAAAGGTCTTCCTTCTGTTGGTTCACCCCCCAAATGGCCACTACGGCTGGCGCACTGCGGCTGGGGCACCACGCTGATCCAAAGCCAGGCGCCAGGTGCTTCCTCCTGGTCTCCCAGGCAGGTACAGGGCCCAAGCGCTTGGGCCATCCTCCACTGCCTTCCCAGGCCACAGCAGAGAGCTGGACTGGAAGAAGAGCAACCGGGACAGAATCCGGTGCCCTGACCAGGACTAGAACCCAGGGTGCTGGCACTGCAGGTGGAGGATTAGCCTAGTGAGTGGCGGCGCCGACCGCATCATGATTTTTTTAGCTGGACATTCTTACCTGATTTGAAATGAACTCATCAGAAGGACGATGGAGCCCGTGCTCCCTTGACTTGAGCTACACGCACAGTACTGGTCCCTTAGTAGCAGGGACAGGTTCATTCTGAGAATGCATTGCGAAGCGATTTCGTGGTGGTGGGAACATCTTAGGGTGCACTCCCAGGTAGCTGTGACGTCACCAGCTGAGGGTCTCCTGGGACCACTGTGAGTGACTGAAAGACGCGTCTGCATCGAGGCCGGACTTCTCCTCAGTGGCTCTTCTCTCTGCCACCTGCAGACTCAGTTCCCTGCTCTTGCGGAAGCATTTCCCTTCCGAGACCCTGCCTGGTGGTCCTCCAAGTCTTTCTGACTTCAGCATTCAATGTCCTTCGAGAAATCGGTTCTGACTCGCTCTTTGCCACTAAGGCTGAGACGCAGATGCGATTGTGTAAGCGCAAGGCTGAGAGCACCGTGCACATTTGGGGTAGTTTGTATTGTGAGCATAGTTAAATGACAGAGATCCAGAACTCCCAGTCACCCACACCCCCAATTTTCCTTTATATTTTAATATTTTTAAATGGCCATAACACATGCAGAAAACGTTTCTCTGGGTGGAAGTCTCTTAGCATTTTTTTTTTTCACTTTTTCCCCTCTAGAGAGAAAGAATGTTGCTGAAATTTTGGAAATTAGAGTTATGTTAACTAATACTAAAGCAAAGGATTTTGTTGGGTAGGGTGAACTTTGAAGGGCAGCTGACCGTTTTATATCTGAAATTTTGTTCACACATGGGACATGCGTTTTGACTGCTTTGGGAGATGATGCTACCCCTCCAGAGAATGCATCTTCTGGTTCTTCCTCTGGGGCTGGAACAGTCGGGTGATAGGAAGGGCAATGAGCAGCCGTCCTCCAAAGCAGTGTTACCCATTCAATACTGATACCGTGGGGAGTTTCTGTGGCTCCATATTCTTGCTAAAGTCCTGGTACCTTCCAACTTTAAAACTATTGCTAGTCTGCTAATTGTGTAACAGTGTCTCATTAGATTTCTGTTTTGGGTTTTCCTGATTGCCAGTGATGGTTGACATCTTAGGATTTTTTACTTGGATTCCTTAGATTCCTCATGCCTGATGGCTCATATATCTCTACTTCAATTCTTAAAAATCCTTGTTACACTCATGTAGCCCCTATTAAAAGAAAGCACAGTAGGATGACCTAGTTATTCACTTGAAAAATATGGTGGAATCCGCTGACCCCTGTTCTCAGCTCGGATGAGCTGTTTGGCTTGGTCAGAGCCCTCAACCTGCGGCCTCTTCGTGCTCACTTGCAGATAGGAATATTGGCTTGGTTATAGCAGTGGTTCTCAGATCCGGCCGCCCATAACAATTGCCTGGGGTGTTTCTTCCTAGTTCTGAGGGTTGGACTAAGCCTGCACCAGGAGGCTTGATGCAGCTGGATTAGAGATTGCTAATCCCTTCCAACCTCAGAGCCTGTGATAATGACACAATAGACCTTTCATGCCTGGATTCCGCGCTTCCAGTCATCCTCCTCGTCTGCACCCTGAAATAAGGAAGCTAGAGACCGAGTTCTCTGCGGGCCTTAGTCTATTTTTGTGAGCAAGTCGTGAAAAGGAAGCAGCTCTTTAATTTAGTGCACAGAGGAGAACTTGGCCGCAACACTTGCAGCACGTTTTTGAGGCTGGTTTGAAGGACGAGGTAAAGAAGTCCCCAGTGGCCCTTAAGGAGAACGAGGTACCATGTAGGTCGTGGTGGCTGAGCACAGCACAGGCCCTGTGAGGCTGAGGCAATGAATTGCTGATTTTTTTTAAGATTTTTTTTTATTTGAAAGTCAGTTAGAGATCTTCTACCCACTGGTTCACTCCTCAGATGACCCCAGCAGCAGCACAGAACCAAGCCAAAGCCAGGACCCAGGAGCTTTCTCCAGGTGTGCCACAAGGGTAGCAGGGGCCCCAGCACTTGGGATATCTTCTGCTGCTTTTCCCAGGCCATTAGCATGGATCTAGATCTGAGGTGCAGCAGCTGGGACACCAGCTGGCACCCATATGGGATGTTGGCACCACAGTGGCAGCTTTACCTGCTACGCTGGAATGTCATCCCTGATTTGCTGATTTTTTACTTTCTCTTAAGATTCTGTCCCATTCCCAGGAGCCCTACCTCACCTCTGTATCCAGTCACTGGTAGAATGGCTCAGGACTGGAACCGTGGCTCCTCAAGGTGAAGCAACTGCGCTCCAAGGGGACTGATGAAAACCCTTGTGCCCTGGGCACAGAGTACTAGGCTGTGTGTGGATGGCTACTGGGGTGAAGAAAGGTGGTGCGAGAGGCATCATATGACCCGTGTACCTGTGTATGACCCGTGTACCTGTGTATGACCCGTGTACCTGTGTATCACCCGTGTACCTGTGTATCACCCGTGTACCTGTGTATCACCCATCTACCTGTGTATCACCCGTGTACCTGTGTATCACCCGTCTACCTGTGTATCACCCATGTACCTGTGTATCACCTGTGTACCTGTGTATGACCTGTGTACCTGTGTATCACCTGTCTACCTGTGTATGACCCGTGTACCTGTGTATCACCCGTGTACCTGTGTATCACCCGTCTACCTGTGTATGACCTGTGTACCTGTGTATCACCCGTGTACCTGTGTATCACCCGTCTACCTGTGTATCACCCGTCTACCTGTGTATGACCTGTGTACCTGTGTATCACCCGTGTACCTGTGTGTCACCCGTCTACCTGTGTATGACCTGTGTACCTGTGTATGACCCATCTACTTGTGTATGTCCAGAGGTCTCCATGACCCAGTGCCTGGCACCAGGTCAGTGGTGCTTTCCAGTGCCCGTCAGCTACTGACAGCTGTGTCTGTGTGGCTGGGACATGACACTGGCTGGTGCCTTGTAGTTGTCAGAGTGTGTTGCCTTGCGTTTACTGAGTTAATCATCAGAGCAATTGTTGGCAGGGAAAAACACTTCGTAGTTGTCTAGACCCTGGTTACGAACTGCAGAAACCAAAAGCTTGAATGAGTTTTAGCATAAATGACTCATTCACTGCTTCATGGAACCAGGCCACAGGGTCCTGGCCCTGAGGGCTCCAGGTTGGGAGAGTCAACGTCTAGACCAGGTTTGTCTTCCTGCTCATCTCTGCTGTCTCTCGGGTCCTTTGTCTCTTGCCAGTGGGGTTTTTTCCCCCTTGTAAGAAGAAGCATGGCCTCAGGCGGTTCCAGATTCTCGCTCTTCCTTTAAGAGCTGCTTTTCCAGTGGCTGCAACAGGAAGACCTCAGGAAAGGTGTGTGCTGGGCCAGGCTCTGGTCGCGTGCCTTCTCTGGACTACTCACAGTGAACAGGAAGGGTTGCATTGATTGGCTGGCTTGGGCCATGGTCATGGGGCAGTGATTGACAGCCCCACTGAGCCGTAAGATAGGAGCGAGGCGGGCAGTCCACCAAAGGAGAGACTGGCACCAGTGCTCCTTCCACGTATGTTCCCATTGTGGTTTTGTTTGTTTGTTTGTTTTTTGTTTGTTTGTTTTTGACAGGCAGAGTGGACAGTGGGAGAGAGAGACAGAGAGAAAGGTCTTCCTTTTTGCCGTTGGTTCACCCTCCAATGGCCGCCGCGGCCAGCACGCTGCGGCCAGCGCACCGCGCTGATATGAAGCCAGGAGCCAGGTGCTTATCCTGGTCTCCCATGGGGTGCAGGGCCCAAGCACTTGGGCCATCCTCCACTGCACTCCCGGGCCATAGCAGAGAGCTGGCCTGGAAGAGGGGCAACCGGGACAGAATCCGGCGCCCCGACCGGGACTAGAACCCGGTGTGCCGGCGCCGCAAGGCGGAGGATTAGCCTATTGAGCCACGGCGCCGACTCTTTTTTAAGATGTAATTATTCATTTGAAATTTGGAATTATACAGAAAGAGAAGGAGAGAGAGAGAGAGACAGAGAGAGAGGTCTTCCACCTGCTGGTTCAGTCTCCAATTGGCCACAACTGCCGGAGCTGCGCCAATCCGAAGCCAGGAGCCAGGAACTTCTTCCAGGTCTCCCACATGGGTGCAGGGGCTCAAAGACTTGGACCATCTTCCACTGCTTTCCCAGGCCATAGCAGAGAGCTGGATGGGAAGAGGAGCAGCTGGGACTTGAACCGGCGCCTACATGGGATGCCGGCACTGCAGGCTGGGGCTTTACTCGCTACGCCACAGCGCCAGTTTCCCATCCTGTTTTAATTCTACTCCTGTCTGTTCCTGTCCCCTAAACAGTTCTGTTTCTCTGTGAACAAGGAGTTCAGTGCAAACCATGAAATTCTAGCCTCCAGATTTGTCCCCACGTTTGCCTCACTGTTTCCCAGATGACCCCGTCCTCTCTGCTGACCACAGACTCCGGATGAGAGCTCCCTGTCCCTCAGTCCTACAGCAGACCGGCTGCATGGCTGCCCTCACTCCATTCCCCCAGAGCAAGGAAGAATGGGCTGTGGGACTGAGCGTGGGGCTTCCTGCTCTCTCTAGCACACAGTAGCCTTGCCTCGGGCCACAGGGAGACCACGCTCATGGTATGGGATGCAGCTGTGTGGGGACCGAGCCTGGAGTCAGGGGCTGAGTGGCCTGAGGTCAGCTTGAGGCCACCTGGTTGAGCCTGGATGGGCCTGGTCACCCCCTGCGTACTGCCTTTGGTCTCCTTTGCGTCTAACTCGTGCCCGGCCCTGCTGACCCTGCCGAGCCTGTAATTGGGAACGCGGAGGACGTAGTGCAGGCTCACACAGTGAACACTGTGGGGTATTGTGGGCCCCTGTGGCTTGCTGGGCGGGGAGAAGGAGGGGAGAGCTGGTGGCTGGGGAACAAATTGCAACCAGATGTAGATTGCAGTAAACACCACGCTGCTGTCCTCTGCTCAGAGGTGCCGTGGTTTCTCGAGGCAGCAGAGCGATCAGTAAACTAGAGGCGTTCCAGGCAGAGTGGGCCTCCTGGGGGCTCTGTCCACAGAATGCAAGGCAGAGCCTGGAGCCCTCCCCTACCTGCGATTTTACACCGCAGTAATAGGCTTAGAGTGTAGCACCCAGACCCTGTGGAACCTGGAAGGAGCCTGGGACTGTGGTTCAAAAAGGAGGCGTCACAGGTGGGGTGGAGGTGGGGGTGTCTGCACCCCTTCACGCATATCCAAGAGCCTGCCTTGTGCCGCTTGCCGAGGAGAACCAACTGACCTTCAGACCCCGGGGAGGGCCGGAGGAGCCTTTGCGGGCCGGCAAAGGAAGCGGCCTCTGGGCCAGAAACATGGAGCGGGTGGGACTGAGTGATGCAGGGAAGTGCCAGAGCCTTTCTGCCCAGTCCCTGTTTAAGGGCTCCTGGAAAACTTCCTGGACTGGAATTAGCATGTAAATGAAGAGGGACCAGCACTGTATGGTAGTAGGCTAAGCCTCCCCTGCAGCGCCAGCATCACATATAGGCACCAGTTCCTTTCCCAGCTCTCTGCTATGGCCTGGGAAAGCAGCAGAGGATGGTCCAAGTCCTTGGGCCCCTGCACCCACGGGGGAAGACCTGGAGGGAGCTCCTGGCTTCAGATCGGCTCAGCTTCAGCCACTGCAGCCTTTTGGGGAATGAACCAGCAGATGGAAGACCTCTCTCTCTGCCTCTCCTCTCTATATATAACTCTGACTTCAAATAAATAAATAAGTCTGTAAAGTCTTTAAAATCATCTCTTAAAAAAAAAAGAATATAAAGGGCATGACGCTAGTCCAGGTGAACTCAGCAGCATCAGGGCTGTGCTCCACCCTCAGTTGACCTCTGCCCTGACTTGGGCTCCTTGGGGGGCCTCCCCCACCCCCCTCTCACTGGGTGGGCCATTCCTCCTGGGGCAGTGACATGGAATGCCTGCCTGTGCTCCATAGGCTGTACTGAGCATGCGTGGGGTGAGCTCATTGACTCTTCACAGACGTTGATTTTTCACACGAGGATCACGGCAGAGGCTGGTGGAAGTCACGTGAGGCGCCCGAGGTCAGGTCACTGGTGGGAGCCACTCTGCAGGCCCCGTCTCTAGGCCTTCTGGCACTCGCCCCGGCTTTCTCACTCCTCGCACCTCCGTATTCCAGATAGGCACCCTGGTCGGCCGTTGTGTGCCGTGGTTCCTAGCTCTTCAGGCCAGCAGCCTGTACGGAAGTCTGCAGGGGACTAAGTTCCATGAGCCAAGCCCACAGAGACTGTGTGCCTGGGGAGACTGCAGCTGGGGGGTACACGTTCACTGCATGGAATGACGACTCCTCTTGTACCCCAGAAATCTGCTTTCCAGAGCGCATCTTGCCGACTTCCGGACACTCGAAGGGTCGTTAGCAAGCATGTGCACTTGGAGCTCCCTCTTACAAGCTGTGCCTTGACCCTGGTACCAGCTGTGAACAGTCATCTCCAGCCTCCCAGGGAAAATCCTGTGTCCTGAGGCCACACCTTTCTCCCTGTGCAGGAAGTTGGCAATTCCCGTCCTCCCTGAGGGCCTTTTCACAGATGGCTGCTAAGTTCCAAGCTGTCTCCCTCTGGCCTTGTCCTCCAAGACTCTCCTTGTCCTCCAGACATGCAGAGCCCCAGGCACTGCCCTGTGCTTGAAGCACAGCCATTGAGGAAGAAAACATCTCCCGTCCCTGCCTGGACACCCAGGAAAATACTTTGAACCAAATGGAGTGGAGAAGACAAATTGGCTGCATCTATTTAAGAACAAATCAGGGGCCAGTGCTGTGACATAGTGGGTAAAGCCGCCACCTGCAGTGCTGGCATCCCATTTGTGTGCTGGTTCAAGTCCCAGCTGTTCCACTTCTGATCCAGCTCTCTGCCATGGCCTGGGAAAGCAAAAGATGGCCCAAGTCCTTGGGTCCTGGCACCCATGTAGAAGACCTGGAAGAAACTTCTGGTTCCTGGCTTTGGGTTAGCCCAGCTCTGGCCATTGTGGCCATTTTGGGGGAGTGAACCAGCACGGGAGAGTTCTCTCTCAGCCTCCACCTCTGTCTCTCTGTAACTCTGCTTTTCAAACAAATAATCTTTAAAAAAAAAATCAAGCTTTCTGAATCTACCACCGAGGGCAGGTTGGGTGCAGAGACTCAGTGCAATAGAAGTAGCAGCCCTCATTTCTAGGCCTGATCAGCAGATGAGGTGGAGCAGCAGGTGGCGTGGCCCCAGAGGAGTTCACGCCAAGGAGAGGGTCGGGCTGCTGCCTGCTGAAGCGAGTATAGCTGTTGTGCCCGAGGCAGAACCCTGGGAGTCTGCACTGAGCAGGCATTTGCTGTGGGACCTGAAGGCAGGTGCCAGGCTTCACGCCCATCTGTGATCCCAGCACCTAGCAGAACCGTCCCCCACAGAAAATGCAGCACATATGCTACTTAAGAAGTGACTGAGATCCCCTTTACGTGAAGTGTTCGGGATGGGCACATCCGGAGAAATGTAGCATCCATTACCAGGGATGTGGGATAAATTGGAGTGTCTCCTGGGGGGCCCCAGGTTTCTTGCTGGGGGGATGTGATCTGGAGTTAGAGAGGAGAGGCAGCAACGCTGTGACTGCACTGGGGACCACTGAACTGGACACTGTGATGTGTGCATTAAATAGAAGCAGGGCTGGCATTTTAAACTTGAGCAAGAAGGTGAGACCCCTCAAAAATGCGGGGCAGACCAGAGTGCTCTAAAGGGCACCCCAGCCCTGGGCTCGGCCCTGGTAGGTTGGGGAGCCAGCCTCTGAGGCTCGTGTGCCAGGCATGTAGTAATGCCAGCCGTTCTACAGGGTGAGCCCCTTAGGAGCGAGGGCTCCGGGACTGGGCTTCTTAGGTCTTGCAGAGTGAAATGGAAGAGGTGAGCGTTTTTCTATATAGGAGACAAATGCTGCAGAT